GCAAACTGGGGAAGAGCTGCCGGCCTTCGGCATCCCCTGGCGCCGCATTCAGGCGGAGAGCTTCCCGCAGCAAACGCATGCGTTCTTGAGGGCGGAGTACAATTTGCTGCTGCTGCCGGAGCTGCTGCAGCAGCGGATGGGCGCAGAGCCGAGGCCCGTGCTGCTGCGCCACGTGCTGCGCTGCTTCCAGCGGCTGCAGCAGCAGCTGCCCGCGGGGCTCCGGGGAGTTGAGTGGCTGGACATCTTGCCCTTCGCTCCTGCTGCGCTGCAGCAGAGGCTGCTGAGAGCTGCTGCTGCAGGTTTGATGCGGGAGCGGGGGCTGGCGCTGGACGCGGCCGTGCCGCTGCTGCTGCAGCAGCAGCAGCAGCAGCTAGCTGCAACCCGCAAGAAAGACGCAGCGCGGCTGCTGCGCGCCGCGCTGCCGCTGCAGCAGCAGCAAACCCTCCAGGCCCAAGTCCAGGCCAAGGCGGCCACCAGGGGCTGGAGTCCGAAGAAGCAGCGGCGGAAGCTGCGAAGGGCAATTCGAAAAGCAGCAGCAGCAGAGCTGCAGCGGCTCAAGACGCGGCTTGCTGCTGTCAGGGCTTCTCCCCTCAACGCGCCCCCCAAGGGCGTCCACAACGAGCTGCAGGACGAGGCCCGGCCCGCCGCGATCGAGGACTGCAGCAGCAGCACCAGCAGCAGCAGCAGCAGCAGCAGCAGCAGCCTGGTGAGAGTTGAACAGGGAGGAATGGACACAGCCACTGCTGCACTGCTCGCCACGAAATTCACAGCCTCCGAGCTGCCTTTGGCGGAAGCAGCGGAAGAGCGAGAGGCGCAGCAGCAGAAGCGTGCAGCTGCAGCAGCAGCAGCTGCAGCAGCAGCAGCAGCCAAAGCAGCGGAAGCTGCAGCGGGGGAGGCGGAGGGGGACGACAGCGAGACCGAGAGCAGCAAACTGCTGCAGCAATGCGACGGAAGCGCGAAGAAGAGAAAAAGAAGCAAAAAGAAGCAGCAGCAGAAGGAGCTGCTGCTGCTGCCTTCCACCAGTGCTTCTGAAAGTGAACAGGAAGCAGATCAGGACGGACCCGCGCTGGTGATGGTTCCTGCAGCAAAACAAAGAGTCAAAAATAAAAACAAATCCAGAGTTGAATTCAAAGAAAAAGCCGAAAAGAAACACAAAGTTAAAGAGCCAGAGGAGCTGCAGGCGCTCGAAGTCCAGGCAGAGGTTTCAGAAACGCCGAAGAAGAAAAAGAAGAAAAAAAGCAAAGAATGCGACGAAGAGCTCACTTGAGTTGATTATATTTACCTTTTGCACCTGCGCTTGTTTATGTACATATATGTATTATCATTGTGAATTTAAACTCAAGAAAATGCATTATGCGAATTATGTGCAACAACCGCATGTTGAAATTGCAACTCCATCAAAATAGAAGGATAACCTGATGGTGCAAATGTGTAAATATATATAAATACACAAATTTTCAATAAATTTATATATTCATGCATATGTGAATATACATGAATATGTTCAATTGTGCAGAATAATGCTTACATATGATCCTGTCCGTATGGCTGCGGATCCGCAGAAACTGCAGGTAAACGCGTTTTAAAAGTGTGCTGGTGCTGCACATCTTTTAATTTCCTTTTCATTTTATTTTATTTAATTCTTTTTGCACTTTTTGTTCCCGTCATCACTACGAGGGGCCCCAGGCTGCGCGCCTCACCTGATGGCTTTTCTTCCGCCGCAGAAGCTACAGAAAAGCATGCAAATATGCAGCGCAAGCAAACAATTCAGATTTAAAATGCGTTCAAATAGTTTAGAATATATAATAAATACAAATTATATAATAAATACAATTTATAATTATACTTGCGTGTCGAAGAGATCCGCCAGCCTCACTCAGTTCAGGTTTCCTGCAGCGCCAGCATCTGATCTGTTCCCTTCTGCTGCACTTGAAAAATAACTAAAAATAATTATTTTGCTTTTAATTGAACTTAATTCCAAATAAGACTTTGAAAGGGAGTTTGAGTTAGTTGGAATTGACTGTAAGCAGGCGAGACTCTGCGCTCCCTGCGCATATTCGCCAGCGAAAATACAAGCTGCTGCAGCAGCAGCTTCTGCTGCAGCAGAAATTTCAGCTGCCGCAACAGCAACATGGTCTGCTGTTGCTCCTCGGCATGCCGAGCAGCTGTTGCTGCTGCTGCTGTTGCAGTTTGGCGCAGCTTTAACCTGCGTTGCGCAGCTGCACAGCATCAATAGCTGCTGGTTTTTGCTGCTGCTCCGAGCTGCGCTGCTGCTGCTGCTGCTGCCAGCTCCTCTTCTGTGGGAAGCCGAGTCAACGGGTAAACAGTGTTAACTGGCGGAGTCGGAAAGATGAGCCCGGGGGCCCCTGGCGCCACCGGTGGGGGGGCCCCCCCAGGGGCTCCCCCAGGGGCCCCCCCAGGGGCCCCCCCAGGGGCCCCCCCAGGGGCCCCTCCGGGGGGCCCTCCAGGGAGGCCCCCAGGGGGTACCGCAGGGGGGGCCCCAGGGGGGCCCCCCTGGGGGCCCCCATGGGGGCCCCCTTGGGGGCCCTGCTGCAGACTGAGGCGGGTGGGTAAGTTGAGTTCGGGGATTTCGGGTTCTTTGGAATAGAAGACTTCTGTGAATTCCATGAGCTGAAGAGAAGTACAATTAACTTGAAAAGTGTTGAACTTTAAAAATAAAAAATAAATTAAAAATTCAAGTTTTTGAATTTTAAACTATTAATTTTCTTCCACCCACAGCTTTCAGAATCTGCTCCGCCAAGTCCTCAGGGCCTGCAGAATATCTTATTGAAATAAAAATTAAATTTGAATTTTGAACTTGAATCTTGAATTTGAATTTTGAATTTGAATTTGAATTTTGAACTTCTCACTGGCCAGTTCTGCTTCTGTCTCAGTGCATTTTCGCCTGCATTGCTGAGGAGAATTTGAAGTTGAACTTTTTTTCGACAAATCCAATTTAATTTTTTTTGAAGTTTTTTTGAAGTTTTTTTATTTTGAAGTTCAGCATTTAATGGAGAATGACTTAGCCAAGAGATGAATAAAAGAGGCATTTAATGCCACTTAATGCAGAATCAATTAAGACTTCTTTTGCAAGTTCAGCTCTTAATTGGGCCTTCTCTCCAGCAGGTCTCGTTATTACGGCTTTAGGGCGCAGCAGCAGCAGCAGCAGCAGCATCTGCTGCTGCTGCTGCTGCTGCCGTGAGTTACCAGCTGCGAGCGGTCTTCGCCGGGGCTTGCTGCGGAGTGGAAGTTGCTACAGCAGCAGTTTTGAAGTTTGCTGCTGCCTTACGGATTCTGGCGACTGTCATGATGCAGCAAATCTCGCAGAAGTCCTGGCCGCACTGCAGCAGACATTTGAACGGCTTCGTTGCTGCTGCTGCTGCTGCTGCGGACTTGCCTGCGCCTCTTCTGCTGCACTTGCGATCGAAAACGCAGCGCATCGCTCTTCCCTCGCCTCTGCCGAATTGAAGCAGCAAAAATAAATCGAAGTCAAAAGAGGATCGGAGGCTGCAGCAGCCGTACTGAGGCGGTGGAAGCTGCATTCACATTCCGGGGGAAGCGGGGGGTCGCCGCGAACGGCGTCGTCGGTGGTGCAAACAGTTCCTTTTTGGAGAAAATATTAAACAATTTAACTCCGCAGATTTAACTGAGTCCGAAAGAGCTGATTAATACCGTTGTGGACATCCGTCACCACGGCAAACGGCCCGTCGGACAGCGCGCTCGGGCTGAGGCTGCGCGGACTCCAAGCGCGAACAAATAAGAACTGCAGTGAAATTGAAGAGACAAAAACATAATGCATTTTGGGAAAGTTCTGCAAAAAGAGCAGCTTTCGGCAGCCGTGTTTCGTTCGTGGCGAAATGAAACTTGAACGGATCTTCGAGGCGAACAGTTGAAGTGTACGTACACCTCAGTCCGCGCAGCCACGTCGCTCTCGCGCTCTCACGACATAACTCGCCGCATTTCTCACTTTCCATTCCCAATACAGCAAACATTACAGCAGCAGCACTTAAACGGTCTTTGCTTGCAATTCAACTTTCCCATTTCCCCTGAAGTCCTTCAAAAGGCACTCCTAAACCCCCGCCCAGCACACACAGGCAAAGAGCTGCATGCGCAGCGGCAGCACCAGCAGCAGCTCCAGCAGCAGCTAAACGCGTCCCCAGAAAAGCCACTGCAGCAGCAGCAGCATTTGTTTGCAGCAGCTCGCCAAGTCCCATCTTAAATGCAATTGCAAATGCAAGTTTTGAATGTTCGAACATTTGCAAATCCTGACAAGTGCGCCTCCCTGCTCCAACTAAGTGTCGGTAATATCTTTTCGACATTTCCTCTTATTATTATTCTTTTATTTCCTTTAATTTCTTTTATTTCTTTATTTTTTTAATTTTATTATTCTTTTATTTCTTTCAAGCAGTTGGGTTGTACGGGGGCACGTAAGTGCCGTGTTCCTTCATATAAGCCTTGCAGGCCTTCTTCAGATTTTCCACCCAGCCCACGGGGGCCCTCGCGGCGGTGGTGTTGACAATCCACTGCGCAGACCCCGCAAACCCTAAACCCTAAACCCTAAACCCTAAACCATGGCCGCACCCCCAGCAGCAGCAGCAGCAGCGGCGGCGGCGCGCTGCTGCTGCAGGCCCGCGCCAGGTGTACGTACACCCCGAGCCTCACTTTGGGGATGAGACCTCTCACGTCTGTTTGCGCCAAAATGAAAAGAGTGGAGGAGTTTTCATCGTTGGGCTTTTGCTGCATTATGTAGCCTGAAAGAAATAAAACCATTAGCAGCAAAAAGGAGAAAAAGAGACAATGGACTTCCATTTATTTAAATAAAAGAATTAAATCCAATAGCAAAATCCACAACTGACTTCCACTTATTTTAATCAAAAGAGAATTAAATCCAAAAATGAAGTTCAGGGAAAGTGGCCACGGTTCGGGTGTACGTACACCTGCGCTGCTGCGCTTGCGCCTCACTTTCAGGAACTTGAATGGAACTAATTAAATTGCACCAATCAAATGAAATCAGTTAAATTGAATTAATTAAACTAAATTAATTAATTAAATTAATTAGATTAAACGAAATGAGCAAACAAACCTGAAATCAAAGTCTCAGCTCTGACCACTCCGCTCCTTTCCGGCATCGAGGGATGGTCAGCCGACCTGCAAGCCCGTCGGCAGCAGCAGCAGCAGCAGCAACAGCAGCAGCAGCAGCAACAGCAGCAGCAGCAGCAACAGCAGCAGCAGCAGCAACAGCAGCAGCAGCAGCAAACGCTAGACTGGGGTTATTCGCTTTTGTGCATTTCCCGGAGCTTAAAAAGACAAAAGTCGAAAAAGAAGAAAATGCATGCACTGCTTCGTGCTGCAGGCTGTACATACACCTGAATGCCCTGCAGAAGTCTAGAAAGTTAGATTAAAATTAAAATTAAAATAAAACTCCGTGGGGCCCCACAGGGGCAGCTCGGACCTCATAAGCATGCGGACGACTTTGGCCTCTGGGTCTTCTTCAGTTCTTCTCCACTGCAGCAGCACGCAGCTCTTAAACGCTTCCAATGCAGCATCTTCAGCAGCAGCAGCAGCAGCAGCAGCAGCAGCAGACCTGGAGGAAGTCCCTGTTTGAAACGGGAAAGGGGGCCTTCATGAGGCAGTAAATCATTTCGCAGCCGTCCACGTCTTCCTCAATCACCCGGTAGTCCCCAAACGTCGTGTCCCTGCAGCCACCACCACCCGCAGCAGCAGCAGCAGCAGCAGCAGGAGCAGCAGCAGCAGCAGCAGCAACACTGGTGCCCAGCAGCAGGCGCAACC